GAGTGAGTGAGTGAGTGAGTGAGTGAGTGAGTGAGTGAGTGAGTGAGTGAGTGAGTGAGTGAGTGAGTGAGTGAGTTTGAGTGATGGTGAGTTTGAGTGATGGTGAGTTTGAGTGATGGTGAGTTTGAGTGATGGTGAGTTTGAGTGATGGTGAGTTTGAGTGATGGTGAGTTTGAGTGGTGGTGAGTTTGAGTGATGGTGAGTTTGAGTGCTGGTGAGTTTGGAGTGATAATAAGTGATGATGATGAGTTTGGGTGGGTGGGAGTAAATGGGGGCGGTGACATAAGCAATCCAAGAAGCAAAGCGCTGACTTTTTGACAGCCAGCGTGTCAGCGGGCCAGCGTAACAAGGGATTCAAGAAGGCATACAGGAAACGAGCGGCGATGGTGATGGGCCGGGCCCAGCCGGGCCGGGCGGCAGGATCAGCTCATCGGGCCGCGTCGCGACCTCGTGCCTCAGGCCGCGGGGCGGGGCGCTGCAGTGGGCCATCCTAGAGGCCCGCCCCGTGCCCCTGCGGGCTGCTAGCGGGCCGGTGGGTCAAGGCGACCCATGGCCGCCGTGGCATCGACTCGATGCTGTCTCAGTCAGACCAGCAGCTGGTCCTCCGGCCGGTCGAGCCTCTACTCGCCGTCGGGTCGGACCGTGGGGCTGCGCCGGCACCCCGCCCCGCGGCTGACGCTGACCGCCTGCCTGTCGTGTTCGCCTGGATGCACCGCTGCTGCTACCTAGTCATGACACCTCCGGGTCTCCGGATCCTCGTCCAAAAACGACGCAGCTGACTGCGAGAGAGGAAGGAGGGAGAGAGATTGGGGGGTGGGGGATACTTTTTTGACTCAAACGCGCGTCATAGGCTGCCCCGAAACCGGCTGATTGATGGAAGCACACGGGCGGTCTTATTCGTAATATGTGGGTCAACGTGATAGTGGAGGACACCACACCACGACGCGCGTACTCGGGAGAAGGACACACGAAAAAGTGTGAGAGCCAAGGTGGCTTCGTGGAGTGCGCCCACCTGTCAGAATACCACGATATGTTTAAAACGTGCACGCCGACCGAACTCCCACTCTTCCCCTACCCGCGCCCGTCTCGCCGTCGCGGGGAAGGGAGAGGGTAGGAGGAGGAGAGAACGCCAGGGCGCGGCCGCGGCCAGTCGGTGATCCACTCACTCTTACTTTCCCACAAGCCCAACGGGCCTGCTAATAATCACGATAAACGAGCCTCAAAATTATAAACGGTGGCCGGAGTCGGGCTGGAGCCGCTCTGGAGTCTGGCCGCTCCACTGGACACGCTTCCGCGGGCCGTGGCGGCGGGGCGTTTTACTGCTCCTCAGCCGCTCCACCGGGCCGCCGCTCCACGAGGTAGCACCCCCTGCCGAAGACCAGAAAGTACCCCAAACAGGACCCACCAGGACACAAACTGCTTTCGAGTCGCGCGCATCAGTACTGATTGCCCATCGGATTGCCCCTTTACTTCTCTCTAACACTCCCTCTTACAGCAGAGCAGGATGTGATGTAGCCGGCGGTGTGGCTACTAGAGCAAAGGTGCTTTTATTTACGTTGGCTCCTCTACGCTGCTCTACACCCGGCAGGGAGCTGCACAAATAAGGGCATACAAAAGGGAAGAAAAATAAACTTGAGATGTAAGAAACTGTTGTGTACTTGGTACTAACATCGGTTACATGAGCCTCGTCGCGTAAGTCACAGGCGTCACGGGGTGCGTTATCGTCGTTGGGGGAGATGGGGAGGATGAGGAGGGCACATGCACTCACACAAATAAAAGTGAGGGACGTTCTTTGCACTCGAAAGGTGCGCGATGGAAGAAAAAGGGACAATAACAGGGGGAATACGACAACAACACGCGAGTGTGATAACGGTGACAAACCATGCGTCACTCGTGTGTGTGTGTGTGAGTGTGTGAGTAACACAAACACACGTACACAACTTTGTCGTCACACACTTGTAAGTGATATACAGCGTCACAAACGTCTGTTTGTAGAGCGGGCGTTTGGGCAGGGCGGGCCTTTGTCCCAGTCCAGCACACGCTCGCGTCAACAAACGGCCAGACGCAACTAGTATAAGGCATGCGTTAGTACTGTCACACGCGCACCTCCACTAGACTCACCCGACACACGCGTCACAGCCAGTCAGTTGTTCAACAGCGCCATTTGAGTGTTTTGTGCCGATGGATTTGTGACGATATGGTGTGACGTGGTTATTGAACCCCCATCCGCCGTATGTACTGTCCAGCACCCTCCACCAAAGCACCACCACCACCACCACCACCACCAACCACGGCCAGCAGTAGCGCGCCGAATCCAAAATCGCTCCTCAGCCAAGACAGCGGCGACGTCGAGGATGTTTGTGCCGGCCGGCCGGCAGCAGCAGCAGCCAAACGTTACGCACAATGGCGGGAAGCGGTGGCGCGGGCCTCGGCGATCCGGGCACGTCGTCGACGACGACGTCGTTAAGCGTGGGCGCCGGTCGACCCCGCGCTGGCACACCAGTCGCACCTCCACAAATATGGGCGACCGCGAACAAAACCGGAGCAAGTAGAGATGATAGCGACGTGACGACCTCGGTGACGACCACCACACCACGGCGCTGCACGACGCTGCTCGCCGCACACGACGCCGCGCGATGAGTTTAACCGCCAACGACCTCCACCCTCACGATGCGCGGGAGGGAGGGGGGCGGCGCAAGGGGCCGAGGATGGTCAGTATGACGGCGAAGACGCCGTCGCGGTAAGAACAAAACGACACGACGACGACGACGGGCCACGGACTGAGTGTGCTGGAGCGGCTCTGGCTGATGACTGACTGACCCCCGGGCCCGAGCCCGTCACTGATACTGGACGGGGCGGGACAGGACGGGCGGACCGGGCGGCGCCTCTCTCACTGATCTTCTCTCCTCCCGGTCCGGCCGGTCTGCCTCACTGCCTCGGCCTCTGGCCTTCTTCTTGCCTTGGCCCCGCTACGCACCCGCCCGCTCACATGAGCCCTATCCCCGGCCCTGCCTCCTGCCCTACCACGCCCTGCCCCACGCCGCACCTCCGGACCGGGTAACAGCCGCGCTTCAAGTCATTCCTTAGTGAGGCACTCACCACAAATGAGGTATTTTACGAATAAGAAGAACAGAAGGAATCACGGCTTTTGGACCACAACAAGTCGCAGGTCACTGGCGCATAACGAAACGGTTTCTCGTGTACCAGATTTTTGAGGTTCGCAGCTTTAAAATGATATAGAACAGTTATGACTTCTTTTCAGTTTTAGCGGAGATACGCGAGAAACCGTGCGCTTGGTCGTGGCTTTGTTATGGTCCGGGAGCAGACGTCGGCCGGGATTCCTCCTGTTCTTCTTATTCGTAAAATACCTCATTCCAAAGCCCCCCCTCCCCCAAAAAATAAAACAAAATAAATAAAAATGGGGATTTTAAATTTGACAAGAATCACGAAGACCAGTATTGGGCTTTATTTTTAATATGTTGCCAAATTTCAAATATGCTTGACAGTTGTAATAAACCCATTAGCGCTCTGTTAAATGTTGGGACTGTTTGTCAGACAAAGAAAAATATCCTCCAGATCTTTGCAAAGGGCGTGCCGCCTGGTGCAGGTATCTCGTGGGTATACCGGCTGCAGACCGTCCGGCAGTTTTGGCCTGATGAGTAGCAGCTTCTTGGTCCTCGAAATTGTGTGGAATGCCGAAAACACATGCCATTACTCATTTTGGAGTAATGCTGCTGCGCCTGCTTTGATTGAGTGTTTTTTTCTCCTTTTTTGCGGTGGTCGAGTGTTGAAGATGGGGAGGGGAAGAGGGGGTGGGGGAATCACCGGGAATTGCTAGAATCGCTCTCATCGCTCCCCATATGTGGTTGTTGCGGGAATCTTTGACTGCTTCCTGCTGGCTTTCTGCTCCTGTGCTTTTCGATTGAGTCCCCTGTGATCGGGCAGGTCGGAGAGTGCCATGGTGTCAGTTGATAAAATATTGTTATCAGAACACAAAAAGATATTGGTTAAACATTAATTCGAACTGTGTCGAGTTGAGCATCACATCGAGGGAATGACCCGACGGATCGAGCCCATTTAACCGGAAAGAGCACTCTGGTTCGTGGTTGGCAACAGTGCAAACCCTCGAAGACTGTCAATAATGGTCATGTATGAAAAAGTAACAGTGTCTTGATGGATTTACATTTTGATTTTTTTTGCGTTCTTCGTAAAGTCACTCGATTACTATCAATGGAACTTAATATTTTTTGTCGACCGTTAGCATCTATGACGTTTTTTTGAAGGCACGGAGCTCTGTTTACGTCCACCTACTAGACCATAGTATCCAATTCGCACCGCTGCCGTCTGCTGCACTGCAGCAGACCACATTTACAATGAATACAGAAGTAAAAACCGAGGGTCAGTCCTCTACAAACGGAGGAAGTATAGCTGATGGCATGACACAAGCTGAGCGAGACCCTAACTATGCGTTTAAGGGTACGTTTGTGCAATTTTTGAAGAATTAATATGCTAAAGGATTCTTTCAAATAGGTTATGTTGCCCATGTTGTCTGTACCCTCTGTACCCTTATCCACAAGGGTTTTCTCTCACATGCATTAGTGATTTGTTCCCCACCTACCCCTCCTTTCCCAACATTCTGTTTATTTTTTTTTTCACTAAAATTATGAATATTTGTTTCTATCTGCTCTCTAATTTCTATCTTTCTGCTCTTCATTACAGCTTCAGCATTTTTAGCCGGAATAGCTGGATTTTCAGCATTATTTGGCTTTGGAGCAACACTTTCTTATGCCAAAAAGAAAGATCCTGTATTTTTTGATAAAGGCGTAGTAATGGGTCCAACTATAGCTGAAAGTGGTGCTGGTCTGGCTGTACGAGCATTGGGTTGGGGAACATTGTATGCTGTTGGAGGTTGCGGTCTCTTATTTGTTTCTATCTGGAAATTATCAGGATGCAGCAATGTAAGTTAAAAAACATCCTTATTTTACATAAATTCACTTCATTTGTCACGTTTATAGTGAATGTTACAAACACTTTGTTTCAGCTTCACGAATTTCGCATGAAAATGGGAGATAAACTACCTAAGATTCGGAAAAATGATCCTCCTCAGAGCAGAACAGAATTTGAAGGATTGAGTGATTTAATGGGATATTTAGAAACTTGGGGCTCAGAAAAGAAGAATAAATCTGTCAGCCAACCAATTGCAGTAGAGGCCAAGACTCCATCTAATCAAAATTAGTTGACTGATGTTACATTATAGCAATTTGTAATGGGTGTACAACACAATGAAATTGCCATCTGTCTTGGCTTGTTATGGAAAACAAATTTTCAGAGGCTATTAGATTTCTGATTAGAATTTGGTGCTTGGGAATCTCCAACTTGAACCGTGTCTTCGTTGAAAGAATTTTTTCTATCTTTGAGTTCAGTATTATATGCCTTGAGGTTAAAGCTCAGCATTTCTGCATTTGAACCAATTGCGCATTTCATGCTAAGCAAATGGTTTCATTGAAAAGAACAATACTGTCCATAATATTATCAAAATTACATCTGTATTGGGAGAACTGCAATTTTGTGACACTTATGATCTCACAAGTGTAAAACAGAGTAAATATCTGTAGTAAGTTTAAATCATAAAGGCATCTGTTGAAAACTATGACATTGTGATTTGCTGTTAATTTGTTAAATAAATTTTTTTTACAACATGTTGAGTGAGGTTAATTGAGAAAAACAACTGTTTTAACAAAGCACCATAAATAAAATTTATTTCGATACATATGTACAAAAAATAATAATAAAACAACATATACTTATTCTGAAATTTGTGACTTAAGATTAAGGTTGCGAAGCAAACAAAGATCCCTTATTGTGGATTTCCGGCCAGTTATACTTTGAATATCATACAATCTCACTATAAGATCAGTTGAAAAGTTTTCAGGAAGAGCTCGAACTAAACTTGGAATCTGAAAACGAGTTTTGGAATTAAGCATGGCAACCATTACTTTGTTGAACGAAAAATAAAAAGAGAAATACAAAATAAAATTAGGCTCACCAAGGAACTGGGCATATCTCGTAAAACAGAAGCAGCATGTTCCTTTCCAGAGAAAACCACCAGTTGAATGAACCTCAAGGCAAAATGAGTCTGTTGAGAAACTTCTCCATCTCTGGTAACCAATATATTAAGGGTCTGGAAAAGTTTACGTAAGGCAGAGGCAAGAGGTTCCTTTATGGCATTGACACACTCTTCTTCATTAAATACTAGAGATGGAACTGACTGTTTCCCATCTCCATTGCAATTTCCTAGTCTCATTAATTTACATGCTGGAACCAGCAAGTCCAAATCCTGAGTGAAATGAAAATCATCAGTACACAACAACAGCAACAGACTACTAATATTGGCAAATATATTTAAAAAGAAGGCAATTGGAATGGTTTTGCATATGCACTTTGGTAATTCTTTCTTAGAGAGAATTCACAAATTAAACACAAACTTACTTCATAATCCTCTGGTCGAGTTCGTTTCCGCGAGTTGGGAGCAGCAAATGGTTCAACACTGTCCAAATTAGCAGAGGCAAATACACAATAAGCACTAAGCTTAGCTAGAGCAGAAGCTTGAGGTTCCATTAATTCATCGCTCCTGAAAATTTTCAGAATACATGATTTAATATATATGCTCTTGAAAGAGTTACAATATTTCACTGAGAAACCAAGTACATATTTTGAAGAAATACATACATTAAGCGATTGTGCAGATATTGTGGTAGCACATGCAAAATTAGGGTAAGAGTACAATGCTCAAGATCAAGATGAAAGACGGCAAATGCTACATCTACAGCACGATCTAAATCTTCCTTGTATCTGTACTTCAAAACTTCCTGCAAACAATACAAATTTATTATTTTAGCAAAAGATTTTAAGTACTTAGCTAAATTACGCAAAAAAACATTTCTCATATTCATTGTCATTATTGGTAACTGCAATATTCACCTTCACAACATTAGTAACAAACCAATTAGCTCCACCGGAGTTTAATAAGCTTTCAAGTTGATGAGTAGCTTCATTTTGCATCCATCCTCTCTGATGCAAACCATTCCAGATATTTGTTAGCTGCTCACAGATAGGTTGACAAGATACAATACTGGAAAATATGATTTGAATATTAATTGTTTGTAATGGACACATACGAAAACACAAAACATACACACACATTTAGACCCACACTCTAAGCAAAGTAAAAATGAATTGATGTATGTACCTGGTAGGAGAAAGAACTCTAGCTTTAGATTTAGGCTGAGCAATAGGAACATCATTTTGCATTTTGCAAATAACTGCTGCCATCAGGTCTGCACGTTCAGTGAAACTACTGACTTCTTGAGAGCTATCAACAGCTCCTGAATTAGATAGGAATTGCTGTACCATATTGATGGGCTTCAAGAGCTTTTCTTGGGGTAATATCTGTGAAGTGTGTCATTTTAAAAGAAATTTAAGATAAAATCCAGAAAAAAAGAAAGAGTATGACTCTGACATGTTAAAAAATATTTACCTGCATATAGCTACACAACCAGGCAGTTGCACAAATAGGCAAACAACACATTCTAGCTTTCATTGTGTCTAGAATACGCTTCACATCATTGGGTGTTAAGGCATCATGTTCCCATGCGACAAGAACTTCCTTGATCGCCAAGGGAACACTCCAGCACACCTCATGCCACTTTACTTGGCTATCAAAATGTTAAGGTACATAGTTAGTTAAAATGAATAGAATACAGGTGTAGATAGAAAAATCATCGCAGGTTACAGAAACAAATATAAGATACCTTATGGGAAAATCTGCCTCTCCATTGTTAAATTGAATTAATAACTCATTGGCACGAGGTTGTGCAACAGACTTCAACATTTGATCAGGCGATTTGGCTTGTTTCCTCTCCACCATACAATCCCTCGCCCACTGCTCAAAGAATGAGTTACCTCCTTGCTCAGAAAGTACAACCTGCAATGATACATAATAAGACAGATAATAGTAACTCAAGGCCATGACAACAATAATATGTGAAGGTCTTAAAACTTTGAACTTACATCAGAACCATACATTTGAACAATTAAACATAGCATTAAAAATGTTATGTCAAATAGCATAGCTCTAGTTTGTGCAGATTTGCCATTAACTCCACCAACTTGCTTTGACCCTTCATTAAACTTTATGAGTTTTGAAACAAAAGTGCGTAATTTTCCTTCAACTGAGGCTACAGCAAGAATAAGTTCAAACTTAATTCCATCCAGGACTTGACAAAGTACACTCAGAAGTGGTTCCTTAAGGAAGAGACAGTTAAATATGATAAATGACAGCATTAAAGAAAGCAGATTCAAGAAAAAAATATTCTGTTAAATGGTGCCTACTTGAATTTCTACATAATCAGCATCAAGTGTTCGAAGGATTTTCTCAAGTAAGGCCTCTGCTTGACGAAGCAGCTCGGAATTAGGGAAATTGATGGTATTGCTTTGTTCAGATTTCAAAGCACTAGACGAATTTGTTTCTTCTCTGGTGAAAACAAATTTAAGGTTCAGTCAGCACACAAAAATTTTCAGATTAAAAATAATCAAAATAAAGTCAGCAGTATAACTTCTTAATTAAATTACCTCATTATAGTATATTTCTTGCAGTGTTCTTCAGTTATAAGTCCAACCTTCAAAATTGCTGTTAGTAGAGATTCTACACAACTGGAAGGCCATTTAGCATCTATGATATCAAGAAGTGGAGTGAACTGAAGGAGGAGTTCAAGAGCATCTACAACATCTTGTGAAAATTCCCCCTTCCCCAAGGTTCCTAGGACAAAGACAACACAAAAATGAAAAAAAAAATCAAAGTTGATAGATAAGTTGTGTAATTGTCAAATGCAACAGATACCGGTAGATGTGTTACCTTTGCTTGTTGTGTGAAGTTGAAGTAAAATTTGGGGCATTTTAATAAATGTGAAGGCTCCCCATTGTGGAACTTGAGGCATTTCCAAAACATTATTTATAGTGATGAAACATGCCCTCATTAGCTCACAATATAATCGTGCATTGCTTAAACCCTATGTTCAATGAATTTGAAAATGCAGATTAGATAAATTAAAATACATACCTAGCAAGAGATTTATCTAAAAGATTACAATACCTTTAATCTTTGAATCATACGCAGTTGACTAACAAATGTATAAGTATCTGCGCATGGATTTTGCATCACTTCAATTGCAAGAAGAGGTTGGAGGCAGTAAGTAAGAGGTTCACAGCCATCTTTTGTGGCAGCTAGTCCACTTACAACTTGGAAGCTAGGTATACATCTACTACCTAAATCCAGGTCCATCTCTTGTAGCTTGCTATAAAATAAAATGTTATGAGTCATTAAGACCTAAAAAGTGACAAATGCATCAAATTCGAGTAAACAATGTACACAGTTATTACCTCAAAACCTCAATTAATTTGGGATTTGGAACAAAATGAGTACTTTGTTTTATTAGTCCATGAATTTCTTGACACTTCTTACAAACATCCATATACATTTCTGTAACAGAAGGGTTTAAAAAGAAAAACAGCTTTAGAAAATTTGTCAAATGTGCCCTATTGTAAAGCATGAACAAACAGAACATACCTTGATCTTCATACTTTCCCAGATACAACACTGCTGTCATAAATTGGTCATCTATCATATTTGAGAGAATTTTGATTGGAAGATCAAACATTTCTGGATGAGGTAAGGTAGACGCATTGACAGCAGTTGGTGGAAGGGAGTCCAAAACATGCATGAGACATTGTAGTAACCAGTGCACTATCCGCAATAGGGCTCCTGGAAGCATGCTTTCCTCTGGTTTCCCTCGGCATGTTATTCCAGGCTAAACATACAATGAAAGTAAAGAGCATGGAATTAATTTTGAGAATTTTTAT